GCTTGCAAACTGAGGCAAAGAACAAGCAAGGCAGCCACACACTGGTCTGATGATCAAAGAGCAAGAGACAAGACAGGCGAGACTCGCCAAGCCATTTATCTCTCCGCCCTTCAATTAACCCCACATGTGTTTATTGGCCAGGTTGGCACAATAAACTAACTACCTGCGCATAGACTATGGGTTAGGATAAGGTAGAACACTCAGAAAGGCTGATGTTTCTTCTCTCGGCTCCTCCTTCACTCCTCACACCCTGGTTTTCTTTTAGATACAACATAATACCATGGAATTATGCCAGTTTAGTCTTCTGATTTTAAGACACCTGCGTGAAGTTTGATTGCCCATGCTTTCCTATTCTTTTCTTCCGTTTTTGAGATCAGTTGTCATAACAACTTCCATAATCATTGTTTTTGTGTTTGTTCTCACCAGAACGTTTATAAAGCTGATCTCCTCGCGAATGAAGAAGCAAAGAAGAAAGGCTATGACCTGCGGAGCGACGCCATCCCCATCGTGGCAGCCAAGGCCTCCAGGGACATCGCCAGTGATGTGAGTAGCAGCGTCTCCGATGTTAAGAGCGGAGGATGGAGTGGGAGGTAGGGGCCAAGGTTCTCTTTCCAACAGGAACATACTTACATGTTCCTGTTGGAAAATTCTTATTGATTTATTTTTCTAAGTCAAACAAATATTTATCATCTGAAGAAACTTTAATATTTTTAACTCCAGAAAATTTTAACATTCAGATATCTTGAGAAGCATGTAAGATCTTTTCTTTTTCAGTGTAAAATCTAAATTGGTGTCTATAAGTGTCCTTAGCTAAAATTATGAAAAACTTACCATTTTGAGCACATTGCCCCCACAGAAGAGCTTTAAAATAACCTGGTTGTATGTAGTGATTCAAAATCAGATACATCTAGGTCCACACCAATCTAGAACAGTGCACCATTTCTCTGGGTTTCTGTCCGTTGTTTTTTTGATTAAAAATTACCTGGTGTTTACTTTTGAGTTCACTTTGAATGGAAATAGAATGACAGAAACAAGCAAACAAAATCAACGAAATGGTGAAAGCAAATGCCTTGTTCCTCAATCCCTAAGAGAAGAAGGCCCTTTGGTGGAGAACTTGGGCTTCTATAAACATGTCAATAATTTTGTGGGGCTGTTGCTCCAAACAGAGTACATACCCATAGCCAACACCCAACCACCGCCATCACCAAAATACTTTCTTGTAAGAGTACATTCTGGTTCCTCATATGGTTTTTCAACTGTCGATCACCCCAAACAAAACTCAGTCAAGGTTGATCACAGCTGGAACAGAACATGCAGGATGAAAACCACAGGGCAGTCCATTTCAGGGTAGCTCTATCTAAAGTCTTTGGAATCCAATGCCCAATGAGATGCAGCAGACACAGATGGGGATAGGGATGAGAGTGGCACTTCTAGGCGCAGGAATAGCATTCTCATATGTAAGATTTCATGATTTCACTAAATGATAAGTGATTTCATTGCCCCAAATTGGGAAAAAATAAAAAAAAGGTCAGTATACAAGAACAACCATATATTCTTTTTTTTTAATTTATTATTTTTTAATCATTTTATTAGGGGTTCATACAACTCTTAGCACAATCCATACATACATCAATTGTGTAAAGTGCATTTGTACATTCATTGCCCTCATCATTCTCAAAACATTTCCTCTCC